TATACCTCTGCACCAAGTACGAGGTGCAGCAGATGCTGAAACAAGAACCCCTCGACTGGTCACAGGGAGACGAGCGCAAACAACGTGTATTTCGAGGTTCGATCGTCAATACCTGTTCCCTCTCTGGTACCGCGTCTGTGCCAACATTGTCGTGCTACAACAGTGTCAAGCACGCCGTGGTATCCATGACCAAGGTAGATGCACGGCAATATGCGCCTCAAGGCATTCGCATCAACGCTGTCTCTCCAGGATTCACCCTGACCCCGATGCTGATGGGTGGCGGGGCAGGGCTGAGCGAAGACTTCTACGACGGATCCAAAGCACAGAGCCCTATGAACCGGCTGACCTTTCCCGAGGAGGTGGCGGAAACAGTTTGCTTCTTGTCTGGGTTTCGGGCCTCGGGAATCACAGGCGTGAACCTCCATGTAGATGCTGGAGCTTCATTATTCCATGTCATATAGTCCTGAGAAGCCTAAGCCTCTGTGCCGAGAATGATATCAATACATCTGAGACTATGACATATATGGAACGGGACTAGGTCCTACTCTCGGTGATTCCCGAAGCCCTAAACCACCCCCGTGCCCCACAGACCGCGAAAGCAAGACTAAGCCCCGTGGCTTCTTCCTCTCGCCTCTCTCTAAACCTCTCCACCACATTACTCCACCTCGTAGTCGGTATTTTGTGCTTCAGCGGCCTTGGCAAAACTCGGCCCGACCTGATATCGCTAGTTCAAAGAGGCCTCCTGTACCCGAGGCAGACGCCGAGCTGCCGACACTTCTTATGTCTCCAAGGTCAGACTCCGCCTCGGGTGGCCATAAATCAAAACACATCAGATGTGTGGATGGCTTATGCAACTTGGCCTTAGCTGTAAGTCAATACTGCGAGGCGGTCATCTCACAAAATGTCGGGGCAATTGGTGAAGGTCTGGCAACACCCCGATCCTGCCTCCACGAACATCGAGGCATTTCGACGTCTTGCAAACGAGAGATATCAGCTGAATATTGGTAAGGGCGACGTCCAAGCTGTTTCCACTCTCCAGATCAGCTTAGCTAACACAAACTCTACCTTTATGCATCTCAGCCGACTATCATGATCTGTGGAAATGGTCAACAGAATCTCTCAACCAATTCTGGATGCTGGTGTGGGAATTTACCCGCGTCAAGGCATCGATTCACCCCTCATATGCTATTGCGTCTTCGGATGTGAAGAGACTGTATCCGACACCGACTTGGTTCCCAGAAGCACGCCTTAACTTTGCACAGAACATTCTTGAGACGGCTTACGTAGCTGGGGCCGGGTCGAACATCCCCATCCTGACTGGTGTCAGAGAAGGAGGCGGCGAAATCGAGAATGTCACACTCTCCCAGCTGCGAGATAGGGTTGGACGGTTGTCAAGTGGCCTAACTCGAGCTGGTATCCGAAAATCCGACTGTGTGGCCTGCATTGCCTCTAACAGTATTTCCACCTTCACCATCTTTTTGGCAGCAGCATCGATCGGTGCCATCTTCACGTGTTGTTCCCCCGAGACAGGTGAGAAGGGCATTCTGGACCGTTTCCTACAGGTGCAGCCTAGGATCTTGTTTGCCGATGATTGGGTTCTGTACAATGGGAAGCGAATCCCTTGCTTAGACAAGGCGCGGACAGTGGCAACTCGGCTGAAGACGCATGGAGCTCTAAAGGCCCTTGTCGTTGTGCCACGTTTCGGCGATAAGTATCCAGATCGACCTGATCAAGGGCTCCAGAGCCTCAACACATTCACTTCTGGGGTGTCTGAGCAGCTAGTGTTTGCGCAACTAGTATTCTCCCACCCTCTGGTCATCGTATACTCTTCAGGAACTACAGGGCAACCTAAATGCCTTGTCCACACTCTTGGAGGGGTTCTGCTGAAACAGAAGGTTGAGCAAGTCTTGAGCATCGACTTGAACAGCACCAGTGTCTACCTTCAATACACAACGGTAGGGGTCCACGTATCCATGAAGCTGTTGTTTACGTTTCGCTGACGTCTGGGCTCAACAGACCAACTGGATCATGTATCTCTACTCGATCTCAGGTTTGCTCAGTGGGGCGAGATCAATTCTCTATGATGGTTCACCCATGAAGCCAAGCCTGTTGGGATTTCTTAACATCCTCTCTTCTCACCGAGTCACTCACTTCGGGACCAGTGCCCACTACCTCTCTCTCCTGGAACAAGCCGATATCAGAAAAGAAGGCATGCCGAATCTGGACGCCTTAAAGGTTATCACCAGCACGGGATCGGTCCTGACGGAGCAACAATACTATTATGTCTACAAGAACTTTGGACCAGTGCAGCTGAGCAGTATTGCAGGTGGCACGGACATTGCTGGAGCTTGTAAGATTCACAGTCCCTTCATGTTTCTAAATTCTTCAATTAACATGAGATCAAACAGTTGTGGGCGGTACTCCGAGTCTGCCAGTTTATGCTGGCTGGTGCCAGGCACGAGCACTGGGGATGAAAGTACAAATCTACTCGGATGACGGACAGGCAATCGAGTCAACCGGCGAAGCTGGCGAGCTTGTGTGTACTGCACCCTTCCCATCCCAGCCGGCATTCTTTTGGGGGGATAAAAGTGGTGAACGCTACCGCTCGGCGTACTTTGAGAGGTTTCCTGGTAAGCGTGACCCTGGTCAGACTCCGATCCCCGGCCATAAGAGAGCTAAACGTTTCCTCTAGGTGTGTGGCATCAAGGAGATTACATTCGTATGGACCCTCATACTCAAGGCGTCCAGTTCCTGGGTAGAAGTGATGGTGTCCTCAATCCATCTGGTTCGGCTTAAACCCATTAATTAAGTGCCTGAGTTCCAGAGCCTTCTGACGGGTCTTACAGGTGTTCGATTCGGAAGCGCTGAGATCTATAATTGCCTGACGGGCTTCACAGAGATCGAAGAAAGCCTCTGTATCGGCCAGCGAAGACCACATGACGATGATGAACAGGTGTTACTGTTCTTGAAGATGAAGCAAGGACACTCGCTCGATGAGAGACTGAAAAGTGCCATCAAGGCTCATATCCGAAAGGATCTGAGTCCAAGGCATGTTCCCAAGTTCGTTTTCGAGACGCCAGAGATTCCCATGACTGTGAATGGGAAGAAGACCGAGTTGCCCGTGAAGAAAATAGTCTCTGGTCAAAAAATAACTCCGAGCTCGACTATCATCAACCCTGACTCGTTGAAGTGGTACGAGCAGTTTGTGTACCTCGACGAGAGAGGCTCAACGAAACCGTCTAGCAAATTGTAGAAGTGGGTGTCCTATAGACTTGCCAATGCGAAGGACGATGTCCAGAGAAGAAGAACTGCTCGAAGGTCGAGGGAAACCTTTGGGGATTGACATATTCCCGAGCCGAGTATTAAATTGTTTGTATTCTAGATTGTCTGTCTATTATCCGATGTGGACCACTGTGTTATGAGCAAAGCTGTTGGGTCGGTATTTCCCGGGCCAGTTAAGTTCTCATGTACACAGCTAGCTAGGCAAGTGATTACTTAATATGCTGATGAAGCTTCTCCTGCACTATCAATTGTCCGTCGTGGTATATGCTTTCCTCCTCCTAGACATATCAAGGGTCAACAGTACAGTATGACTGGCTTTGGTGCCTTTCCCCTCGCTAATAAAATCATCGTTGTCACAGGCGGTGGTTCAGGTATCAACCTTGCCTTTGTGCGTCAGGCACTGGATCTCGAGGCCCGTGTCGTTGTTGCCGATTTGAGGTTGACAGCTGAAGCCCAAGACCTGGTCGATACGTCTCCCAACGCCGTCTTTAAAAAATGCGATGTGGCAGATTGGAAAGATCTCCAGAATCTCGTGGGTACCGCTGTGCAGGAGTTCGGAGATGTCCCTGATGTTTACGTCGCCGGTGCCGGCGTCTTCGAGCCTGTATGTCATCTGATGAAACCCTTTCATTCCTCATCAAACCCATGACTTTAGGAAAAGGGACTGCTTGCTAAAGGTATTTGTCTTGAGATCAACAGTTGTGGTCAAGTTTCCAGGGAGATACCGAGACTGAACGCTACTCCCAAGTGGATATTAACGTGAATCACCCTATCAAGCTCACGAGGATAGCGATCAGAGAGTTGGGCAATAAGAAGAAAAAAGGCGTGGTACTCATCACTGGTTCAATTGCCGGGCTTCGAGGGGAGTATGCCGTCGCCCTATACTGTGCAACAAAACATGCAATTACCGGCTTCGTACGATCCATGAAGAATGCCCAGTCGATCAATGGTGTCAAGGTCGTAGCCGTTGCCCCCGGGTAAGCCAATTGGAGTATGCACCTCCCTCTTTACATGTTGCTAATATCATATGTGGCTAGTAAGGTTCACACTCCAATGTGGACAGAGGACGACGACAAGTTGAAGCAATTCAATTACGATGCGGGAAGGGCCAATACACCGGACGAAGTGGCAGCAGCAATGGTCGATCTTATTGTGGAAGAAAGATATACGGGAGGGACAATCCTACAAATGACCAAGTCGGGGACCCGTGTAGTGGAAGACAACTGGGTGCAGACATGAATCCGCAATCTCCACTTACTGCTGTCACATTCATAGTGAGCCTCAGATCAATCGAGCAGAGAGATACGAGCAGCGTTGAAAAACTTACCACCAGGATTCCAGCAGTGTCTAGCACTATTTGTTGCCATTCCGAATAGAGCCCTGCCTTATAGTCATCAAGATCCAGGTCCATATACCCTTCCTTTGCGTGCTGGCGAGATACCACGCCTATACCCCGACCTGTAGAGATTCAACTTCTGGCTTCAGATACAACAACAAGATTTTGACTCACCGTTGATGGTGGGATCCGATGCAATGAACAACATTGCTCGACAGCAGTCTTCAACCAGGGCAAACCCAACTCCTTTCCCATCGAGGAACTCTTGAACCTTTTGAGACAAAATTGGCGTGCGGATGTACCTGTGAGTAACAATTGAATGGTTCAGTTAGCTACTCTGTATAAAGACGACGTTGGAGCAATCATCAGTCGTGACAACGTCTCACCATGGAGCAACCAGATTAACCCGGATATTCTCCTTCCACGAGGTACGGCGAAGACTCCTCATGACTCCTCGCACACCAAACTTGGATGAATTATACTGGATTGAGCCCGGAAGGTCGACATATCCTGCCAAGCTAGACTTGAGTATGAGACATCGGTCCCTGTCGCTGTCGACCGGTTGACGTCGAAAGTAGTGAAGAGCCAGCTTAACAGTGTAGAGCAATCCCATCAAGTTGATCTCCATGGTCTTCAGATTGGGCTTTACGGGAAGACCAGCAGGTTCTGGTCAACAGTCAATAAGGACAGCGTTGCCCAGCGAGGCCTTGAATCCAATACTCGCCTTGGAGGGTAAACAAATCATCGTGCCCGACAATTCCCGCATTTGCGATGACAATATCACAGCTTTTATATGGTGAATTCTTGGACGCGGCTTCAAAGGCACGGACCTGATCATCCCAGTTGGTAACATCGCATTTGATGAATTGAGAATTTCTGGGTTTTCCTGTATGTTAATATCTCAGAAGTCTAAAAGGGCATCGACATGGTCATACTCTCCCATCTCGGCCACAGTCTCTGCCCCAAGCTTCTCATTCACATCGGCAATAGTGACATAGGAACTGGATCGCCTTGTAAGCAACCTCCCTCCCATCGACGCCGAAGAGGTCAGAGGAACTGTGGTCTCACCCAGCTTGAATGAATGCTGTGGCATATGCCTTCCCAAGTCCACCCGCACCTTGTTTTCGGTTTCAGAATTGGACGTTGTTTCCACTCAAATCAAGTCCTCACCTCCAGTAATCAACACCGATTTCCCAGCGAGACGCTCGAGGCTCAAGCTCTCCGAGACCTTCAAGGGTTCTTTGTCCTGATACTCTGGAACAGACATCTTGCAGGGCGTCGGTATGAACTTTTTTTCAGTCAAAAACAGTGCTAATAAAGTGGTAGAATCTCAACTGCGAGCCTAGAGGTGCTCGAGTAGTTGTTCGCTCTAACCTTTACTGCTGACGACCAACCGACCACCGAGTTTTCAATTTCCCCAGGCCAACAACGCGAGACTATCGAACAAGACTAAACCTCTCCTTCGGACCTACTCGCCGAAACAGGGGAAACGTGGCTGCAAGGTTCGCGACCTAGTTCTCGGCTGTCACCGAAACACCTTCATAGTTTTCCTGTAATCTAACACAGTGTCCTGTCCATACCTCTTGCGACTGCTGGGGATATCAGAAAGGCCCCGCAAGCTTGATTCAACACGTTTCTGAGAATATTTTCTCGGGCCTCGGACCCAGTTACATCTATCGGGAACTAATAGCAAAATACCAACTCAGTTCTAAAGAGAATACCTGGATACATGGACGTGGTCCAACAAGTTGATGCCCTCACATGCCTCCCCATTGCTTGCCCTGACGTCACTTTTTCTCGACCTCTACGCTCTCAACCTGCGCGGCATTGCTGCCCAAATCTTTCTCTCCGAGCCCGTTTTCGAAGCGTGATTCGTCCAGCTCACCCTGGAATACAACCACCTCCTCAACATCGCCGAAAAGGGCAGCAATCTCCTCCAAGGGCTTCTTCAATGTGTTGGGGAAGTACAGCAGAACGGCCACACCTCCGATGAATGCCTGAAGAATGAAAAAGATATAGTACTTCCAGCCAATGTTGGCAAATGCCGCAGGGGCGGCTGAACTCCACACAATGTTGGAAAGATTCTGGGCAGCGATACCGATAGCAAATCCTTGGACACGCACTTGCGAGGGCCAGATTTCTCCAATGTAGAAGAACATGGGACCGTCCAGGCAGACCACATAGAAGAAGACGTAGAGGTATGTCATGGCCACGCCTCCGGCCAGGCCAGAAGAGTTGGTGGTCCCCAGATAAGTCGCCTGCAGAGCTGCCTCGACGATCAAGGTGCACATGCAGAGGAAGAATCCGCTTGCCAAAAGCCAAGTTCGGCTTACTCTGTCCACGAAGGTCATGGAAAGCAAGGGAGCAAGCATGACAATGGTGACCCAGCCGCCCAGGAAGAGAAGAGTGTCGAGTTCGTTGTAACCAAGAGCAGAATAGATGGCAGTGCCATAGTCTAGAACAAAAGACATCAGTCGTCCGTATTCAAAAGGGAACGGTGCTTCAAATTGACTTACTGTTGATGACGAGGACCCCAGAGCCCACCATGCACCATGTCAGGCAGATGGTGATAAAACCTCGCTTCCTCATGGTCGGGTGCTTGAAGATCTGAACATATGTCATTTTGTGCCCATTGTCCCATTCAATTTGCTTCCGAATCTGGTAAAACTCCATCTCAGCGAAGTGATCCGACTGGGATGCACTGGAGTGCAGCGTTTTCAAGATAGACAATGCCTCCTCGTGTCGGTCTTTGGCGATCAGGTATCGGGGCGACTCAGGAAGCCAATACATGGCACCGAGCAGGAGGCTGGGAAAGAGCATCTGTAGCCCGGTGATGCCGCGCCATTGACTATCGCCCGTCACAAAGTAGAAACCGACCCCGCCAAAAGAAGCAATGACATAGCCAACCCCGATGTTGACCGCGATAATGTTCCCAAGAACACCGCGGTGAGAAGGTGGTGTGATCTCAGTAACCCACGTCGGGATGGTGCAAAGAAATTGATATGCTCTGCATGACAGACGTTAGTCATGGATAAGACGGAGCTGTAGCTTGGACCAGAACTCACGCCCAACCGCAGAAGAAACGGAATGCAATGTACAAGCCCATGCTGTTCGCCCCCGTGCAAACTGCAGAGGCGACGATCATGATAATCGATGCGACCGAAGCAGACACCTTCCGACCATAGCGGTCCGCAAGCAAGGCGTGCGTAAAGGCTCCGAACACGCCCCCGACGAAGAAAACAGCCAGGACAGCCGCAACGAGATCATTTGCATTCTTGGCCGTATCCAGGCCCATGGCATGCAAAAACGACGGCTGTCCAAGGGTTGAACCAATAACGGAATTGGAGAAGCCAAAGCTGGCAGAACCGAAGCAGATGAAGACGACGATGAATACCAACTTGGTTCCAAAGTGGCGACGTCCATGTTCGAGGTTGGCGACACCATGGTCTCCGTGGTCAGGGGCAGCCATGGTGCAGATCGCAGCTGTAAGGAGTATTTGACGCAAACTGTGTGTTGTCAAGGAGAAGTTGAACAAAGTACCAACTCAGGGGCAATTGTTCGAAAGGAAGACAGCACAGGACAGGGCAGGACAGGGCGGGACAGGGGGCAGATGTACCAGAGAAGGATGTTTTTATAGCTTGTACCCATATATCTCAGTGTGATAACAAGATGCTGGAGCACTTTCGGCGAACCCCTGAAGGATTTTGTTGGTCTTGCATTATTCCCCGGCCGACGTTCCCCAGAGAGTTCCCCATGGCTCCCCCAGAGATGACACAACCACGTTTCTGGCGATCACCGGGTTGATTTCTTGGATATTGTGGGTATTGAACATTCCCGGTAGCCGCCGAGCAATAAGCTTCCAGGCCGGAGACCAATGCTTTGCAAGAGTTTCACCCAGTCACCCCTGGGGTAGGCTTCCTCACGGCGATGGCCGGAGTACAAGAGTTACCAGTTCATGCGATTCTCCCTCACGTGAACAGTACTTTCCAGTGGACGGGCTATGCTTGTTCAATATCTCTGATACACTCTGCTGCTGATGATGATTGAGTCTCCACTTTGGAGGGTGGAAGAAAGGTCCAAACGCGTCTTTGCTCTCTTTGCCATGGCCTCTCGAGATCTTGTTCCATCATAGCTTATTTGATCGACTCAGCATCTCAAGGCTAGCGTCAACGACCCTGATGTTGTCGACGAGAACCCAGTGACTGACTCGGTCGACGCATACATTGGTAGCGGGCACTGACACCACTGCCTTCAATTTTCGTTTGATTCTGCAGGAGCCGTTCCCAAAGCTCTTCAGTTACTGATACATTCAGCATGCCGTCCTGAGATACTTTATTTTCATTCACAAATGTAGCTAGCCCCGGTACAGAGCTGCCCAAACCCGCAGAAGGTACGAGGTGATTATTGATCTGCACAATGTTGGTACTCATTCCGCCAATCATGATTCTTCAAATGCGGCGAGATGAACGCCTCTCGGCAACTCGCCAGCAGTATCTCCTATCACGATTGTGCCATTTCCCCCCGCGAGCACGTCATTCTCAGATCAGGCAAAGAAACGATTCTTTGGCCGCGGAAGACCAAGATGCTCCCGCAGCGTGGTCCCTTCATAGTCCTTTCGAAAGATGCCACGCCGCTGCAACTCTGGCACCAGCCGTTGAGTCACGTCGTCCAGACCTTGGGGTAAAAATGGCAGTACAACTGTAAAGCCGTCACACGCCTCTTCGTTCAACCACTGTTGCATGCCGTCTGCAATGCTCTCAGGCGTTCCAACAAATGCAAGTCCTGAATATCCTCCATATCGCTGTGCGAGCTGGCGCACGGTCAACCCTTCCTCCTCGGCGACTCTCAAGACTCCCGCACGGCTAGTCTTGCTCGCATTGGTCTCGGGTATGTCAGTTGGGAGTGGCCCGTCCGGGTCGAATTTGGATGCATCTGTGCCAAGTGCAATGGACAATGAAGCAATGGCACTGTCGTAATGTACCAAGCTGTCGAGTTTGAGTCGCTTCTCCTGTGCATCCTGGAAGCTGTCGCCTACCACAATGAAGGCGGCAGGCAGGATCTTGATATGATCGCGACTGCGGCCGGCAGCAACGGCACGCCCTTTGATATCCGCATATAGTGCTTTCGCAGATTCAATGTCCTTTGGGGAGCAGAAGACCGCTTCGGCGGTTTCCCCAGCAAGCTGTTTTCCAGGCTCGGATTGACCGGCCTGCACAATGACAGGCCAGCCTTGAACGGGTCGTGCAATGTTGAGGGGCCCCCTGACTTTCAGTTCGTCTCCTACGTGGTTCAAGACGTGAATCTTGTCTGGGTCGACATATGTGCCGGACTCGACATCGCGCACGAATGCATCATCTGCAAAGCTATCCCATAGACCGGTGACAACATCGTAGAATTCACGTGCACGCTTGTAACGATCTGAGTGATCCATGTGCTCATCACGCCCGAAGTTTTTGGCGGATTCTGGGTTTCCAGTGGTAACAATATTCCACGCGGCCCGACCGTTGCTGATATGGTCAAGAGACGCGAAGCGACGTGCAATGTGATACGGCTCGTCATATGTCGTTGATGCTGTTGCTGCTAGTCCGATCTTGGCTGTGACTTGAGAGAGAGCCGAGAGAAGAGTAAATGGCTCGAATGATGTAACGGTGTGGCTTCGCTTCAGGGCTTCGATTGGCATGTTCAGCACGGCGAGGTGGTCGGCCATGAAGAAGGCGTCGAACTTGGCATCTTCCAGTTTCTTGATAAAGGATTTGAGGTGTGTAAGGTTGAAGTTGGCGTCCGGGTATGCTCCAGGATATCGCCATGCACCAGTGTGAAGGGAAACAGGACGCATGAAAGCTGTCAGATGGAGTTGGGGAGGCACGTCCTTGCCCCGGACAGCAATGTTGTCATGATCAGCCATTTTCTCGAGGTTTTTCAGTATTAGTAGTCAATGATTGCTTGTCATGTATCATGTATGTTATATGTATTCAAACAAAGAGGATCGCTGAGTCGCTGACAAATGCGGAGGTCGTCGCAATCACGACATTGTTGTACGAAAGACCTCAGGACTCGAGGTCCAATTAGAGTCCTAGAGACACGATTAGTATTATCAAGGAGACGACGGTTTTCTGACCACATGCTAGACAACTACCTATATCGGGATCTACTATCCCGGAGTCCATCCTTAGCCCATTATGTCTAGATGAGGTTTGATATTTCCACCCTATTCTCTCCTATTTTGCCAACAGTGGAGAGCGTTGGAGGGGCAGAACTCGAACAAATACGAAGCATTTTTGGGCCCCAAGCTTGGGGTTTTCCCGAAAACTACCAAGCCTCTAGAAGGAGAAATTGGTAGTCTGACAGAAAGTAGACCGCCTTCTCGGAATCTAGGTCGTCACCTAACAGCGAATGAGGCGGGCGCCAGATCAAGGGGTGCTTTTATACCTAATGATCGTTGTCTTTAAGTTACTAGTGAATCACTACTATTTCTCGTCAGACTGTTTCACTTATTGTTTTGACATCGGCTCGCTAGCTTGCCAGGCACATCTAATCAAGAGATCAGCATTTGACCCCAGGTTTGTATACCTCGGCAATATACAAACCCTCTTGTGCCTCCCTAATTCTTCTCCTACTTCTACTTACCAAGGACCCCTTCTTTTCCTTCTTCCTGATCAATAAAGACGACCAAATCCCAAGCGAAGCATTTCACTATCACAGATATTTTGGGCTTCCTGCTAAATCTTCTCTGGTATCTCCTGTCCTGTCACCATAAACCACCCGCGACAGTCTGGGTTCCAACACCCTCCATACCTCCAGGATGTCATTTGCTCGCTCCCCACCCGCGACAAAATTCGCGAAGCTCTCCTTTCCCGCCCCGAGGGTGGTTCTTATCACCATGTCTCGACCTGAAAAGCTAAACTGCACCACTGCGGCTGATGTCGTTGAAATGACCCATGTCTTCCGCTGGTTTGACGAGGAGCCTTCACTGTCGGTGGCCGTACTTACTGGAGCTGGCAAAAAGGCATTTTCGACTGGCGCTGATCTGAAGGAATGGCAAAGAAAGGCATCTGCTGCAGCTGGAAAGCCCGGTGCGGGCCCTGGCGATGTTCCTGGGGCTATCCCACTGTCCAACCGTCTTGGAAAGAAACCGGTGATTGCTGCCGTCAACGGCATGGCGTTGGGAGGTGGCTGCGAGACCGTCATGAACTGCGACCTGGTGGTTGCCGCAGATACGGCCGTGTTTGGCTTGGTCGAGGTGAAGCGAGGCGTGGCAGCGTACGCTGGTGTTCTTCCTCGGCTGATCCGGACTGTAGGCTTGCAGAGAGCCAGCGAAATGGCTTTGACAGGAAATTACTTCTCTGCTCAGAAAGCCATGGAGTGGGGTTTCGTCAACAAGGTGGTTCCGCAACACGAAGTCATTGACGAGGCACTACAATATGCAAAGGTCATTGCAGAGAACAGTCCTGATTCGATCATCTGCACAAGAGCCGGCTTGAGGCAGGGATGGGAGACTGCAAGTGTCGTGGAAGCGACTGCGATCACTGGAAGAAAGGAATGGGCAGAACTCCAAAAAGGGGAGAACATTCAAGAGGGCTTGAAGGCGTTCAAGGAGAAAAGAGCCCCTGTTTGGGTGCCATCAAAGTTGTAGTGTCTTATAAACATGAGGATCCAACATTGATGGGCTCTAGCATTATGACGGGCAACCGCTCTCGTATTTCCCAGCAGCAGCCTCTCTAGACCATTTGGCTTGGTCAACCCACATCGATTGACTTTCTTTCAGCTTTCCATCTGCCCAAGCTTGCATAGCGACGCCTTGTAATGCTCTCCCGAAAGAGAAGGTCAAGGCCCAAAGCGCCGCCGGTGGGTTCGATTGTTTCCTTTTGTTGATGGCGTTAAGGAACGAGATCGAATCAGAATCGCTGAGTCCACCAGACAGGAAGACAATGGTTGGTACAGGTTGAGGCACAGTCTTGCTGAGAACATGCACTGCAGCCTCCGCAACCTGCTCGGGACTTGCTTTTTGTCCAGACATGTCGCCAGGGACAACCATCGAAGCCTTCAGCACCAGCCCAGCAAAGTCGACCGCAAAGACAGCCGCTCAAATAACGCCAAGTAGGAGGCAATGTTAGCCTCCATCAAATTCTCCAAGGGTTGGTCATGTGTCATTAACACTTCAAGTTCAACGACTGAGACAAGGCCAGCCTGTTGCGAGATGGCAGCATACCACGCCAGCTCCTCTGCATTGTCCATAATCGCAAGATGTGACGGCGTCCGTGACGAGACAATATAGGTACAACGCCACTTACTGAAGCGAGCACCTCGCTCGTAGTATTGTTTGCATCTTTCGAGCAGACCATACAATCCCTCGGTTGTTGTTTCCTCTGGCACCGTCCGTGGAAGAGTCACGGTGCCCTTGTCGACCTTTATACCCAGGGTTTGGTCTCCCGTTCCTTGATGATGCTGACAAATGATTTTCCCTTATACTGGGAATTCAGCTGGGCGTCATGTTTTATGAGGGTTTCTTCGAAGGTGATATACCAGAAATGTACTTCTCAAACGGGCCTTCGGCTGTGAACATGACATCTCGCCACTCACGCCGATTGTCTTCGGCATTCTCCTTTTTCAGCTTCTCCAGCCGCTTCTTGATACTCCCTTTGGACTCGTCTGCGGCGAGCAACCCTTTGCCTTCGGCTCCCAGGGCCAGAGCAGTCGTGTGGAGTTCTTATCCATGTTCAAGCGGTGAAGGTGGCTGGAAATGTTGAGGCAGCAGTGGCGCGGATCTGTGACTAGACATCTTCTTCTCTTAGTTAACAGGTGTAGAGATCGAAATATACGCAGAGCCTGCAAGCAGTTTTGGGAAAGGCAGATGAGCTCGAATACCTTTCTTCCGCTAATCTCTTATAGTGGGCGACAAAAATCTCTGCGGTCATTGTGACGTTCATACCCACACGTAGAATGTAAGAATCACCCATTCCTTTCCCGCAAAATAAACGACAAACGGAGTTCTTCTCTAGTCACGACCAGGTTTACGTCAGTTGTGCGGAGTGTTGCCTGCTGTCCGACTGGGTATGACCCGTATGGGCGCAGACTGGAGTTGGTCTTTCTTGTCCCAATACACCTCAAATGGCTTTTCACATGGGATAGATGGACTTGCTTTCCCAGGACTACTCTGACATAAGGGGTAGAACGGTTTCTCTCCTGAGCATTTCTAGTGGCGATGTGCATCTCTAGACCCTATATAAGGAGACAACGTGCAGTATCCAATAGATCTGAAACAGCATCCTCTTTCCATGCCAGCACTCAAATTCCTGCAGCCTTTTTCAAATGCTCATCAGACGCATATTTGCTAATCAGCTCCTGTTTTATAGCCTCGATCTCTGGACCTTTCGCGGCGAGTAACGCGTCAAGCTGTGCCTTTGCCTCTCCAACAAAAATGGTGTTGGTGAGGTCTCCGAGTACGCAATAGAATGTTGCACCACTCTCGGTCTCCGGTGAGCTGAACTGAGAAAACGTGCCATCTGCCTGTGTGCCGCGCATGATGAGAATCGTTCTCTCGAAACCTAGGGTGCCGGGACTCATGACGACGTGGACGCGGGACTGTTCGTTGACCAGAAATTTATGCAGCGTGTTTGGAGGAACTGGGACCGCTTTTCCCACCTCGAGCTCGATTGGTCTGAAGTTGGCCTCGTCCAAATCTTCTGAAGTCCAAACGGTCATTGAGCCGCTGACCAGAGTGAATGTCTCGGTGAAGTCGGTGTGATAATGCGATGGAGCACTGGCGCCAGGAGCTAGGTCGGAGTCGACAACGGTTCGTTCACCTCCGTTGGTTAAGGACGATTCGACAACAAGGGGTATCTTGTCAGCATTCATTTTGCGTGCTCGGACTGCTACCGTGTAGAAAGCTTGAAGGAGGAATCTCTTTTCAGAATTTCAGTGTAAAAATCAGAGACGAATTGCACCTTTCGGTCGAGAAGACTCGAATTTCATGCAGAGTTTGTTAGCACGACAGAAAATTCGCCCGTTTATAGGCGCTGGTAGGAGATGCCCTTTGGATATATGTTTCCAGGTTGTATCGCATCTACGGGACTAATACACACTTTGTCCTTGTATGGTATATTATCTGCCAGTGGAATATGTGACTCACCATGCGGCCGAATTGAGGCCTTCTTTGTGAATCCCAACTAAAATCTGACCGACCACGATGCGGTTGGTTCTCAATGATGGCGAGAGTAGTCGGTTCGTCGCCAGGTCTCATCAACACGAGGCGTCCTGAATGTGGATCGAAGAATGGGGAAATCCACTGGTCCACTCCTCCGGAGTAGTGGAGGTAACATACATATCGAGCTTCAGCTGAGATGTCGAGTGTCGCACGCATCGATCTTCGAACCCATCTGCATGAACGATTATACACGATACCCCAAGTGGGAGCTAATCTCACCAATATCATAGCTTGATTGTGAAAATGGGGAGATCTAGACTGTCCTTGGGGGGCCACAAATGCCACTGGCTTATTCTGCCTGCTCCTACTCGTACAGTCAGCTCAGGCCCCCTGTTTTGTCAAGATACTGCGACTTGCGGCCGCTTCTCAGTTGGGCTAGAAGGGTCAGTTAGCTGCAGCGAGCCTCACCTCTCGACAGATAATGTAATGAGTTCTGGAATTATGGGCGGAAGGATTTTATCAGTTGTCGTACGGCGCAACTATATCAAAAGGGTGACAAGTTTGAACTCATGTCATAGCGCTTTTGTGGGCAGTTGGCGACATGTGTTCCTGCCGCCATACTCATCCCAGCGTAGGTTCTCGGAACAGGCTCTTACCATAGAGCGACTGGCAACACAAAGTCTCACCGTCAGATGTTGGCATTGCATGGATTGATTAGATGGTGACTGAAAACGTTACGAGCATTGAGCTTCCTTGGAGACCGGGCCCGACATCAAGTAGGAAGTTCCAAGCATTCTCCAGTACACAAAAAATTCCCCTCTGAAATCTCGACTCTTCCTCTAAAGACTGTCAGGGTCTCCGACGTAGTTGAAATTGAAATGGAGACACGCACAATACGCTGGTACTACTTACACATCGACTTTACCACGTGAACCGCAAAATCACCGACAACTTCACAAAGATGCGAAAGGAAACACAAGGATGTCATTTCATTGTGCATTGTGCAGTGTGCTCAAGAGGGCACAAATACTCATCAACAACTTGGAGACACTTCATGATCAGATGAAAGATTTATCACATCTGTGCAGTTTGCCAAAAGAGCACGTCTCTGCCCATCAAACAGGGGCGGGAATATGACAGTAGTGAGCTAGCACGTGGCTAGCCACTACTTTGTATCCACTAGACGCGCTAGCGCCCTACTCTGTCTACTTGTGGTTAGCGTCTTGGCAACGCCACTTGTTACATTCTCCCAAGTGCATCTTACACCGTCTTGTTGCCGTTGTCTTGACTTTGCAAGTCCAAACCTACTGAGAGACAAATCATATCTGGAACTTCCGTGGGGCGACAGATAACCGTCTTCAATAATACGCCGGCAAAATGAAATTGCAGCACTACGGCTACCACCAAAGTTCATTTGCCTGAGACATCTGTTGCCTAGAAAAAACGGACTTGTGCGCCAACCGCAATGTCGAAACATTTCAGACTATGGCCGAGACCCTTTATTGAAGAACATATCGACGTCGTGGATATTGAGCCAAAAGGTTCTGCGATACCATGGGGCTCATCATCCCTCTTCATACTGTCATTGATGGGGTTTGTGACCCAGCTTGTCGTGGCCTTCAATGTACCATGGTCATTTGTCGCCATTGCGCTTTGGGTTACCGCAGGTCTCCATATTGCAGCATGGCGCCCCAGAACCGGGTCAATATTCCTCTTTGTCGACTTTGTGGCTATTTTAGCCACGGGGTCGAGCTTAGTCGCCACTCAATTCTACAAGAATCCGAATAGCAGGGACGCGGTGCTTATGTGCTGCAACGTGGGACTCGCCGCCATTGCCACTGTTGTCGTCGTCAACATGCCACTGCGTGACCCTGCCTTGAGCTCCGCCGAGATTGGTCGTCCTTCCAACACACCATCCTGTGCATTTCGGTCACCTGAAGACAACCTGACGCTTCTACAATGGATGACAGTGTCCTGGTTGTCCCCTTTGATAAAGATCGGGAACAAAAAGCAACTCCATGACGAAGATGTCTGGGGCCTCGCCTATGAATTCCAGCACCGACATTTGCACGACGCTTTCCGCGAGCTCAAGGGCACTGTCGTCACACGATTGTTGAAAGCAAACTGGATCGACCTTGTGCTCCTCACAATCCTCGCAATCGTTGAATTGGCTGCCAACTACTCCGCTCCCATGATCCTCCAAAAGCTTCTGCAGGCCATGGAGACGATAGCTGTTGATAAACGACTGGCCATCATGTACGCGATGCTCATGCTTGTGGCCAGAGCCGTGGCCGCTCAGAGTGGGGTGTTTAGCCTCTGGTTTGGAAGACGCTGTTATGAACGATCTCGTGGCGAGATGATCACCATGTTATACGAGAAGACGTTGAATCGGAAAATACTTGGTGGTTTGCCGCAGCAGGCTGATATTGAGGCGGAGTCGACCGTGGAAGTCGCCCCTGGTGCTTCCGACACCACAGAGGCTGGTCCATTACCGGCACCTGCAGGGGTCGTTAGCGGGCAAAACGAGCCAGCAAAACCCTTCATTACCCGCTTGCGGGAGACATTCCAAAAATGTCAATCCTTATTCTTCAACAGAAGACATGCTGTCAGCGAGGCGAAACCGCCGGCATCGATGGGCAAGATCCTCAACTTGATGCGAAACGACGTGTACGAAGTCGCACAACGTTTCTGGGAATTTCAAACTCTGATAAACAAGCCGCTCGGTCTCCTGCTTTCCATCTTTCTCATATGGCAGCTGCTCGGATGGTCATGCTTTGTTGGTGTGGCAGTGGTCCTCGTAGCACAGATCTTCAACTATGTCCTCGCGCGCATCCTCATCAGCTGGGAGAAGGAACGACGCAAAATCACCGATATGAAATTGCAAAAAATCAGTCAGTATGTAGAGGCCATACGGCACCTGCGATGGTACGGCTGGCACCTGACGTGGCTTGAAGGTGTCATGACGGCCCGGCAGAAAGAGCTCAACCTGAGAATCGTCACCTTCTTACTGAACTCAGCCATCAGATTTCTCAACTCATTCGTTAGCGGCTTGCTCCCAGTGGCCACGTTTTATGCCTATACAGTCGCGGCAGGAAAAGAGCTGCGTGTTGACATTGCCTTCCCGGCATTGCAGCTTTTCGCACTTCTGCAGAGCAACATTCGAGAGCTACCCACGTTAATCACAGTCCTGCTGAATGCTTCGGTGGCGGTAGGACGGATCTCGGAATTCATAGCCGAGCCCGATAAGATTGACGAAACAGACGATCGAGAGTACACAGACGACCGGTTAGAGCTGCATAATGCCTCCTTTTCATGGCCTGGTCTCCCGGGGACAGTTCTCAATGATCTTAATGTCTCATTCACCCGCGGGTTGACGGTTGTATTTGGACCTGTGGCAGCAGGCAAAACTGCATTGCTACAGGCTCTTCTGGGCGAGCTTGATCTGCGTCAAGGGAAACTGATGAAACCACACGCAGCCATCGGTTATTGTGCACAAACACCGTGGCTGCAAAGCATGAGCATCCGCGAAAACATTCTTTTCAATTCTCAGTACGACGATACCCGGTACAAGAGGACCTTAGAAGCATGCGCGCTTCTTCCAGACCTAGCCAATTTCAAATACGGAGATCTGTCCAATATTGGCGAGAATGGCATTGGTTTATCCGGTGGCCAAAAGGCTAGAGTCGCCCTAGCTAGAGCAGTGTACAGTCGAGCGCAAATTCTATTGCTCGATGACCCTCTGAGCGCCCTGGACCACCAAACAGCCGAGTGGATTGTGAAGAAATGTTTATGCGGCAGCTTGATGGAGGGTCGCATCGTCGTGCTTGTAACTCATCGGACCGATCTTTGTCAACACGTGGCGTCACAACTGATCGAGATCATCGATGGAACAGCCTCGCTGCATCGAAACGATGAGATATTATCTAGAGTCACATCGGCAACAGCATCGGAGACAGACCCGGTTGAAGCTGACAGCAATTCTCACACTATCGATGAATCTGCTGCGATACCAGAAAAATTCGTGGAAGACGAATACCGAGCCCATGGTGGAGTGCAGATGCGAGTCTATTGGGAATATATCAAAGCCGGGACACTGAGATGGTGGTTTATGGTGGTCCTGACAGCCATTCTTTGTCGCATCACATATGTGAGTGAGAGCTGGTTCCTGAAAGAATGGGGGGAAGCATACAACAAAACCAAAGTCCGGTTTCTGGCGCTGGACAGATCCGAGTTCGAAGTGCATCTTCTCGAGAGTCCAGTCTCGGGCCTATTCGACAGGTTTCCGGATCCAGGGGTGAATGTCCAACCATGGCTTCTCGGCTTCCTCATCATCGTGGTCTGCGAGACCCTGGCACTTATGCTTTCCCAAATGTCCATGTTGGTCGTTACATACTCTGCTGCGCGTCAAATGTTCAAGGTCGTCATGCATCGTATAAGCAACGCCAGCTTCCAGTTTTACGATGTGACACCAGTTGGGAGATTGATGAATCGACTGACATCTGACATGGGAACCGTCGATGGCAACATCGCTGAGTTGTTTCTCGTCGTTATATGGTATGCTGTCGCTTGGATCACGTCTATGGTCGTCATTGCCAGCATTACTCCGATCTTTCTGGCATTCGCCATTTCGCTGACGCTGGCTTTTGTGCTGATCTTCCTGCAATTTCTCCCAACATCACAAAGCTTGAGAAGGCTTGAGATGGTCTCTCTGACACCCTTGATGTCGAATTTTGGTGCATTGCTAAATGGGTTGATGACTGTCAGGGCTTTCTGTGCACAGTCACAGTTTCAGGAAAGAAATATTCAGGTCACAGACGCATTTCAGAAGATGGACCATTTCTATTGGAGTCTGCAGGCTTGGCTGATGTACCGATTCGACATGCTGTCAGCTGTGTCTACATTCCTGTTGACGATGCTTGCGATTTTCTCCAGCCTATCAGCTGGCTTGACTGCCTTTGTCTTGATCTCGGCGAACAAGTTTGTCCAGTCCACTCATGCCATTTGCAAATCATACGGCCAGCTCCAACTCAATTTCGTGTCCGTTGAAAGAGTGGTCGAGCTGGTGCATATCGAACAGGAACCCCCAACTTCAGTTCAGCCACCAGCTGCCTGGCCCACGTATGGAAGCGATGTCGTCTTTGAGAATGCCACCATTCGATATCAGCCTCATCTGGAACCGGCACTGACGAATGTTTCGCTTCGGTTCGAGGGAGGATCGACTAATGCTATCACAGGCAGAACAGGGTCTGGTAAGTCAACACTGGCAATGGCATTGCTAGCGACCATTACTCCCGAGAATGGTCGCATCTTAATTGACGGCATCGACATCGCCAAGGTGGATAAACAGGCTCTGAGAAGCAGAATAACCTTTCTGGCACAAGAACCTATCCTGTTCCCGGGGTCCTTGCGTCACAATCTTGATCCAATGGAGGAGCACTCCGATTTCGCCTGCGAATCCGTGCTATCGAGGGTCTGCGGGAAGTATGGATGGACGCTCGAGACTCAGATCGATGCTGGAGGGAAGAATTTAAGTCAAGGGCAGCGACAACTGGTCGGTCTTGCGCGAGCAATACTGCGGAGGAGCGCCATCGTCATCATGGACGAGGCCACGGCAAGCATCGATTTAGACACGTCTACCGAAATCCAGCGTGTACTGAGGGAGGAGTTGCGGGAAAGCACAATCATCACCATCGCTCATCGGACGGCGGCTGTGGAAAATGCTGACTTTTGCGTTGTACTTTCCGCTGGTCGTGTGCTTTACCAAGGTCCCACTGACGGAGCTGGACTTTAGATCAAGGGCATCACGCGTTCAGCTCGAAGATTCACGAGTATGTAGAGATGGACATAGACAAAATAGACTGGGAACGGAATTGATTGGGGAGTTGTGGGTACAGGATGCTGATTTCCAGGAAAAGATTGCCAGCGTTCCTTGCATTGACTTCGTCCAGCTCTTATGCAAAAGATCACTATTCCATGTTCTGAAAATGTCTCTTTGAGTCCGTCTCGATTAGAAAGATCAATGGAAGCGCAGCACGCGTAAATTGTTCATTTTAGTCCGTCCAACGAGGGGCAGCAGGAAATGCAGTGTTTGATCAGACATCGGCAGAAAACTGGACATTCTGCATTTTGAGGGCCTTTTCATAATAAGCTCAATCTCGTCAGAAGCCGCAGCTCTCGCAATATCGATGCTATCAGAGGGCGCAGGAAGAAAGGACAGCGCGGCAACGGGGGGAGAACTTCTGAGGCTCTAAATAGGGGCCGTCGGTGCAGCCCAGGTTCATAGATGATGGCAGGGATGGCGGGGTTGCTGAACGGAAGGCGTGATGGATGCATCACTGAACATGGGGGTTCGGGAGGACCGCGAGAGGGGGTAGGGCCGAATCTACACTTGACAGACACTGTCAGCAAGGTTTGGACGCTGTAACGCTATAACGCAGGCACTCATCGTAGACATGGCACGAAGTTTTGGAAACATCGAGAAACTTTGGCTTTGTTGTTTTCACCCCTGCGGGGATGGAGCTGGAGCCAATCGGATTCGCTGCCCTGAAAGCACAACCGTAGTGTAGTAGAAATGACGTCTCGAGTTTCCTTCACCTCCATTTAACATCTTTACCAAACAGCGTTTGGGCATTCAATATCTGATATAATATGAGATTCGCATTTACTGTGCGCTCGCTCTCACAGCATTCAAAGTATATCCATTCCATGGAAGCAAATTCCTCATCTACCCTCGATCGAAATACCCACTCCCTTCTGTAGCACCGAAACTTGGTCAATTCTGATACCATGTCAGACACTCCCCCTGCTGTTGACGACGACCGGGCAGCGCGCGTCGTTGCTGGGCATCTCCCCTCGGGCTATACTGCTGACTTTGATGGTGTGCATCCCGATGATGATGCGCCAAGGGGTCCTTCAGAGCCAGAGCCGGAATCGTCTCTCAAGCTCCAAGGCGGTGACATACACCGCGATTTATACAAGATTCAAAATCGGAACAAGTTACAGCGAGCCGCCACCTTTTCGCATCCAAATGAATCCTCCACCACAATGGAGAACGAGATTTCAGTATCCGAACAACTTGCTCCAGGTGGCTTCCGGCGAGAGTTTGTCCGCAAGAAGTATGGCCGCTTCAATCCTGCGGTGATTCCCGTCACGAGAAATTTCGTCGAGTTTCTCTCCCTCTACGGAGCGTTCGCTGGTGAGGATTTGGAAGACTCGGAAGATGAATCAGCGCTTGAGGATGAGGAAGAGGCACTCTCAGAGACGAGGCCACTACTTCGGCGAAGCACCACCATGGCCAAGGCGGGAGATGCAGGGATGACGAAGACCTTCTTCACCTTGCTCAAAGCATTCATCGGCACTGGAATCATGTTCTTACCCAAAGCCTTCAACAATGGTGGCATCCTTTTCTCGTCCATGACACTGTTGACAGTCTCATTGGTCACGACATGGGCGTTTCATCTCTTACTGCAGTGTCGCCAGATCTACAAGAGGAGCGGCTATGGTGAGCTCGGTGAAGTAATTGGCGGTCCTAGAATGAGGGCTATCATCCTTGGGTCGGTCACAATCTCACAGCTCGGGTTCGTTTGCGCTGGGACTGTATTCGTCGCTCAAAATCTGTATGCATTCGAAGAAGCAGTTACCAGAGGCTCCGCTCGGATATCGACCAATATCTTGATTGCCCTTCAGCTGATCGCTTTAATTCCATTGGCATTCATCCGCAATATCTCCAAGCTTGGTCCCGCAGCGCTGGTGGCCGACATTTTCATACTGCTCGGGCTAGCTTACATTTACTACTATGACATTTCTTACCTGGCAATGAACGGACTTAATCCTACGGTCCAGCTGTTCAACCCTCAGCACTACACCCTTACCATTGGCTCAGCCATCTTCACTTTCGAGGGAATTGGTCTCATCCTTCCCATTCAATCGTCGATGCGCGAGCCTGAAAAGTTCGAACCGCTTCTGTGGGTCATTATGCTCATCATCACCATCATCTTCACTTCCATAGGAGCACTCTGCTACGCAACATTTGGCTCGGCAACCAAGATTGAAGTCATCTCCAATTTCCCACAAAGCAGCAGACTCGTTAACGCGGTCCAACTTCTATACGCGCTTGCGGTTATGGCTGGCACCCCAGTCCAGCTATTTCCGGCCCTTCGAATTCTCGAAGGTAAGATGTTTGGCCATCGTTCTGGCAAACGAGACACGTCCATCAAGTGGAAGAAGAATGGTTTCAGGACGGTTCTCGTCGTGCTTTGCGCCTTGGTTGCAATTCTGGGGTCGAGTAACCTGGACACGTTTGTCGCGCTTATTGGTTCGATCTGTTGCGTTCCGCTTGTCTACATATATCCGCCACTCCTGCACTACAGGGGGGTGGCACAGTCCAGATGGGCCAAAGCTGGAGATGTCGTGTTGATGATACTGGGTGTTGTGTGCATGATTTACACAGCTGTCATCACCATCGTGACCAGCTTCATACAGTAACAGGGATTCCATCCTTCTGGGCGTGAAACTGATCTTTCTTGGCTTGTCTCTACTACAGAGAGAGCGACCCTCATCAAATCCTGCTCTACACTCTCTACCTGAGTCAGCCTCACCAGGGGGATCCAAGTGTTTGGTTTGGACTACGGAGACTGGCAAAGAAGGAAGGATGTATCAGCTGTAAGCCGCTTCCGCCAAAGCTTATAGAGTATTCCCGGCATTGCCAAGAGCAAATGTCTATACTTAAGCCAAGCCTAGATCAGTCGAAAAAGGGGAAGGAGGGGTTAGGAAAGACCTTAAAAAAGGAGTTCGTCGCTGCTGCTGACATTATTGGTTGGGAATGAAATCGCAAATGGCGACATGCCAAGCATCTCTGCTCCTTTAATCTCAGGACTTCCTGCGAAACCACTACTTCGAGGCTGTGACTACATGCAGTCCTGCTGACCTCAGACATCGTTGTTGACATCAGATCAGGACAGAGACATTTTCCTTTCCCAACGTACAGTCCTGCCGTCTCGTGATTCTCGTGACTCAACGGTAATTTCAGCTGCGCCCCGTACTCGCAGGTCATACGAAGCACTCGACACGGAACGTGAGTTTGTAGCGACACATAGTCTTCACCGTCGGACAACGGCGGGTTGGGGAAATTGCAGATCGCGGGGGCGAACAAAAGGCCTGACCTTGTGCAAAGGGTCTGTGAAGCCTCATCCTGGGTCAATCTTTCAGCTAATTCGCCGAATCCAGGCACGATTGGCATGTCGATCCCAGAAGACCGATACCCGGACTTGGCCAAAACTCTATACCCCTGCCCTCAGACGAAGGTTGTGACGAGCCTCGATGACGGTTGACGTCCTGTTCCTCCTGAACGTGGCTTGGACAAGGCTACGGGACAAGGCACGATGTTGCTTCATTCTGCCTGGCCGAGAAGAGATTAAGCCAATTTTCCTTCGGGTATACCGTATACGAAAGACCAGGTCTTATTGCAGTGATGAGAGGTACAAGGGCCTGGGCATGTCTCATGGCTGGATAGATACAGGATTGAGTACTTATAGCAAGCGTCAAGTCACCCAAAGTCACTCTTCTTTCCTCAAAGCAACTACTACCACAAGTCACTCGTTCCAATCATTCCACTCGCCCAAGTCACTCTTTTTGACTCACTGTCATTCTTTCCGGTTTACTTCTGCTCCTCCTGTCGATCTTTACCAAACACAATCATCATGAAGTTCTCAAGCATTGTTGCCCCTCTCCTCCTCGCATCATCCGTCGCTGCGCTTCCCGGCTGGCGTGACTGGCATGGTCCCAAAAACCCCGAGAGCAACTGTCTTACTCAAGCCGACGCCGATGACATTGTTGCCAAATTCATCAGCATCCTTGATCACCCAGATGTTGCTGCTTCGAACGCCACTGCTCAAGCGTTGCTGACGGACGATTTTTTCGAAAAGTCTGACTCGATCAATATGCTTGCTGGCCACCCGGTATGAATACACTCGTGGACACAAATTGACTACTATGACTAATTCAGAGTAGATTGGCGCTGTCACCTTCTCTGGCAAAGCTCAGTACATTCAAGGCGTTCTTCTAGCACCATCCATCACGAACATCACAACCTACAAGTCCATGGTCGCTGGCTGCACAAACGTTCTCTGGTTCTGGAACATGGCAGGCATTGGAAGCAGACAGATCCCGGTCAACGGATTCAACCTCTTTGAGATCACTCCGGAGAAAAAGGTCGCCGACATGTTTGTTGAATTCAACAACATTGGCTGGGGAATCGACACTGGCTTCACCGTCTTCAGCAGGGATGGCACCAAGCTTCCTCTGGCATAGAACAGGCATGCGGGAGAGAGGTGCTGGGTCTGAAGCCGAGTTCACTTGATGAAGATTACGGCTGTATTTTCACCTTGATATCAACACTCTTCTAAGATTCTTCTAGGTGTGATTGAGATAGGGGCTGCCACAGATAATGCCTGCCTGCACTGTGGTCGAAATAAATCGGATTTCTTTTCACGTCATATCGTTTTTTGTCGCCGTAAGCTTTAGAAGGTCATCTCTGTGCGCCCATGTCCGATCCTGTGATCTTTCCTGACAGTGCTCCAGGAGATACACCACGCACTCAACTAAAGCAGTGTGACTCTGTGGACTGGCCCATGTATTACTTGTAACCTGTGCCCCAGTAGCTCATGGAATACAGTCTAATTGGCCCAATGCTGCGATTTGGAATACTCGATTTGCTCGCCCCAACAGTATTTCCGTAGACCAGGCAAGTGGTCGTTGCCAGATACACCCGTCACCATCGCCTCTGAGTTGTCGATGTGTTTTCTTCGATCAAACTCCCAAGATCATACATCATCCGTCGCCGAAAAGACGTTGTAGACCGCCAGTCAAACGGCAGATGATCATCCCTTTTCGCACCGTCTCGTCACCTCGTTATTCTGTCAAACGGTGACTAGGACGACAATCTGCCCCTCATTTCCAGAATCTTTCTGGACTTGTGTTCCGAACTGGAGACACAGCCTTCTAAATGTATTCTCTACCCAGTCGTGATCCGGGTCGTCTGCCTCCAATAGATGTGCCTGGAAGCTCTCGATCCTGTTCGGAAAGACCTCCAGCCTCTTTATCTCAAGCCCGCTCTCCCCCTCCTTCCTTTCTGCCTTCTCACTCACGGAAACTCTCCAGGCGGCACTCAGATCGTTTCGGTAATTGGGATCAACCGCATAGTCATCCACAAAGTCACCACATCCATAGACGATCAGCTTCCCGTTGTATATCTCCACGCCCTGAAGATGGTGGCTGCTATGGCCGTGGATCAGGTCCACGCCGCATTCGTCGATCATCCAATGCGCCAGGTCAATAATTTCCTGTGCGGGATGCCAGCGATAGTTTGGCCCCCAATGCATCGACACCACTTTGAGGCCCACCTTTCCCTGCCCCTCGCTGTCATCTTTGGCCAAGAGCCGCCCTTCTATCGTCTCCCTTCCCTTGCCCGTGTATGTGATGTAGTTGAAGGTGTCCACGGCTGACCACTCGCTGGGGTGATCCGCAAAACTCCAACACTTGATCTCCCACCCCTCCGGACCCCCGAGGCGCAGTGTCGCAGGTCTGTGAGACTCCTCCTTCGTTCGACCAGCCCCTGCAAACTGTACGCCATTGTTGACCAACGTCTCGACTGTTTCTTGCCAACCCTCTACATCCCAGTCCAGGGTATGGTTGTTTGCCAAGCTGACATAGCCTCTTCTCGCCCCACCGCCCATGCCGACCTCGGTCAAACACTGGATATTCCCAGGATGAGTGCGATAGTTGAATATTTTACTCGGCCACTTCTTCTCGCTTGTCGTCACTGCCGTTTCGAGGTTTGAAAGCACCAGATCTGACCTTCGGATCAACTCGACGCTGTTGCCCCAGGGCGCGAGGTAGTCATATGACTTGAGTTGGGGATAGAGTGGGAGAATGTGTTTGTCAATTTTCGATGCGGCCGATTCGGGGTCAGAATGCGGCGATTGGCGACCTATACTGGTGGGTAGCAGGGCATCGATGAAACGTCCAATCATGACATCTCCGAGTAGAAGAAGAGTGTATGTTTTTGATGTGGTTGGCATGCTGAAACTGAAGTCTGGAGGTCTTGTGTAGGCTGTGTTTCACCTATTGTTTACATGGCGTGTGATAAATGGCGAGATATTATGCAATTGATTCAATCAAGGCTCTATCCTTTGTAAGGAACTCTGCAAATGACAATAGGTATGGAACGGAACGCGGGAACCACATTTGTCCCCATCCCGTACTATAACAAGCTCATAGAGGAAAAGAGGTTAAAAGGTTAAAAATTCCAGGTTGATGAGGGGTTCATCTGATTTTTTATTTCTGCTCCTGCACAGTAGCTGTACCACACGCGATATCGATTCAACATCTGACATCTAACTCTCCCCAGATTCCCATACAATGATTATTCTGAAGGAGCGCGACGTGCACTCTTTACTCTCCAATATCTCGGTCCCAGAATGCCATCGCCTCCTGTCCGATTTCCACAACATCCTCCGCGCATACTCGTCGACCAAAAATGTCTCGCCGTCAGAACGAATCATTCATCAACCGGAGAGGGAATCCATCGTGACAAAAACCGGTAACACGTCGCTGTTCATGCCGTCTTCCATCACCACTTCGACGGGCATCAAGACCGTCACCATCAGCCCCAAAGGCCTCAAAGGCTGCATCAACGTCTTCACCCCGGATGGCGAACTGCTGGGCGTCTTGAACGCCGAGGAAGTCACCGCGTTTCGGACCTCGCTGGCTGTCATGATCCCTTATATCCGATGGCCCAATAGCAAGAGGAACATCGTCATCTTTGGAGCTGGTCGACAAGCAGAGTGGCACTTGAAGCTTGCTCTGCTGCTGAGTGACGTGAAGCACGTCACTGTCGTGAACAGGAGCAGCCCTCGAAGGATGGAGCAGCTCTTCGCCGATTTGAAGCAGCAACACGCCGACCTTGTGTGTCGGATGCTGCTGAAGACGGCCGAGGATTTCGATGCGCAGCTACGAGAATGCCTTGTGGCTTCAGATATCATTTGCTGCTGCACGCCCTCAACGACGCCGCATTTCCCGTTCAGCTACCTTGACAAGAAGGCCCGGTTCATCTCCCTCATAGGATCCTATAAGCCGTCCATGCACGAGGTTGATTCCGAAACGCTCTTGTCTGGGGGACACATCTACGTAGATACCAAGGAAGGCTGCCTCGTCGAGGCTGGGGAACTAATCACAGCCAACGTCCAGGAAAATCAGCTGATTGAGATCGGGGAGTTACAGGACTCAAACTCCCTTGATATCCAAGGGAATGTCATCTTCAAGTGTGTGGGCTTGGGTATTATGGACTTGGTTATGGCAGGAAGCCTGCTTGGGATGGCCAAGGAGAAAGGCATGGGTTTGGTGGTCGATGACTTTTGATTCTAGACCTGGACGACGCATTCATTTCCCTCAGCGGACTGGAGGGTAGCTTTCAAACACCATCTCCAAATGCATAGTCGTTGGCCCACCGGGTGTCCCATGGACGAGACTTGTTGACAAATCTTAGATCTGTACCCAATCGAATCCTATTTTCCGGGTCATGGTTGATCGTCGAGGCATGGATCTACAATCTGAAGTCAGTGAAAGGCAGGGGAACAAAACAAAAAGGGCATCTGTTTTACCGCATATGCGTTGTGAAACACGACATCACCAGCCTCGTATGCCGTCAACAGCCAGCGGCGATTCCACCGCTTCCCAAACTCGGCCGGACCATCGGCCAGCAGGCCTCCGCTCATCATGTTTTGGTTAAAGGCGCTCTTGGCCTCGTCGTCCGTCAACCCTGAAGCCTTCGCTTTGGTCGTAAAATCCCGTTCAATCTCGGCACCAAGAGTGTGTCCTTGTTCGAGGTATATCAAGCCGCCGCCCTGCCTGGAGACATCTCCCATGGGCACCCAAGCAGTGATTGCAGTGTCCTCGCCATATCTCAGGAAAATCTGATCGTAGTGTACTCCGATCGCTTTATTTCCCGGAGTGTTGTTCCGCAAGAGTGTCCTTCGGATCCCCAGCGTGTCATCGCCCCAGCCCGTAAGCTGCGCCACGTAATTCCGCAACGCGGGATGTTTGCAGAAATCCTCCTTGTACCAGTCCTCGGTGTGTGCTTGGAGAGCTAGATCGACAAACAACGCAGCCACTTCAGGATGCGGCCCCGTTGGGCGGCCATTGGAATCTGTGAAGCCAGCTCCAATCCCAGGGAAGTCGAGCTTGTCCTTGGTGTCGTCGAAGATGCCCTCGACAGGCTTGGTGCCTGGTTTGAGAACGCCGCACGGGGAAAGGAGCTTGAAATATTCCTCTCTCGCCGCGAGCACATCCTTTCGCGGCAACAGGCCTTTTACAAAGAGATATCCGTCTGCGCGGAACCGTCTGCGAGCCTCCTCAATTGGAGTGTCCAGTGAAGTCGGCCGCAAATCGGCATACTGGTCGGAAGCTAAAGGTCCGTCATTGACGAAGAATTGCTCTCTGGACGTCAATTGCGACTCCGGGGATTCTGCGTGGGGCATTCTAACCAAAGTTGAAGCGATTATTTGAATAGCTCAAACGGGTAGTGTCGACCAGGATTCTGCAAAGAGGTAAAATATCAAGGGATGGCTGGCACCAGCGAGTCAAGATATACATCTTGACGCCGACACCAGTGCTGATTGATCCCACCCGTCACTCGTGGTCAATTCCATATCGCCACCTTTGTCTCCGTGACATGCGTGATCGACATCGGAAACCTCCCAATTGGGGCGACGAAGGATGTCGAGGTTCAAGAAAGGAAATCTCCGTCCGACAAGTCTCCGAAGCGAGTTCTGGAGAGACAGGAAGAGGCAATAGATCCCGGGTCCAAATGGGCCGTGGACGTGTCATTGAAGCCGATTCCCCACAGAAATCCTCCGCAAACGACCAACTTCTCCGGATTGTCTCCCTCGTCTTCCTCTCACATACAACTGACATGTCCTGTGATTTCTGTCGCAAGAAGCATATCAAATGTGTGATCATGTTTCCATCCTTTGCGGCCCCGCACAAGTCAGTCCTATTGCTGACCTCTTTCAGGTGATGACCAGCACCCACGATGTGGGCGCTGCGTAAAGGCTGGTCGACAGTGCATCCGTAGGCCAACGCAGTATCGACGCATTTCCAAGCCACAAAAATTCGAGACACAGCAGGTTTGGGTGCCCGTTCCTCCAAAAGGTAAGTAGGGAGCGACAAGATTTCTGGGTGGATGCTAATATCTGCAGTTGACTTCGTAGATGAAACTCCGCTTTTAGGACATGGGAAAGCCACGAACCACCCCTCGGAAGAGAGAGACATTCAACAGGGATCTATGCACGTGCCACAACTTGACCAGCTGTCGAATGAGGTGGTACTCGCACTGAATGATCCAACGCCATTTCTGGCTGGACAAGCGCTGCGTCCTATACTGAGAACACGCGAGGACGACACACCCTTTTCCACCAAAGAATCCGCCGAGTTAATGAGATACTTCATCGACAATTGCGCTTGCTTCTTCGACTTCAGCGATGCTGACAGACATTTTGCGGACGAGGTCCCCCTCAGAGCTCGCCAGAATGCAACGTTGGCCAACGCGATGCTGGCACTGGCTGCTCGGCATCGAAGTCGGACGGGCGAGTTTGAACATTTCGCAGCCGATCGATATTACAACGCGTGTCTTCAAACCATGATCCCAAAGCTCGGGGACAAGTCGGCGATCCAAGACGATGAGCTTCTTGCAGCCATAGTCATTCTACGACTATTGGAAGAGATGGATGGTTAGTGCGTTGCAGGCGTCTCGTTTCCCCTGACTGACTCTCGTACAGTACCAATCGTGGGATCAGACCCTCAGAAACATCTCTTCGGGACCCAGGCCCTTATCAACGCGTCTCAGGCTCGCCCTCAGCTATCAGCAACGGCATTGAGAAAGGCGTGCTATTGGGCGGCTTTTCGCCAGGAAATTTTCATGTCCATCACTACGCAAAGACCTTTCAATCTGATTCTGCCCGAGATGCAGCCGCCTTCGAGCCCTGTGGATGACTGGTCGTGGACGGTCCAGGCCACGTACCAATGTGGCAAAGTACAGGCCTTTGTCTTTGGCGAGGAATCTACAACGCTGTCAAGGTATCTGCAATTGATGGAAGATATCGAGACATGGCAAAGAGATCGTCCAGCATCTTTTGACCCTGTATACCAAGGGCTGAACCGTCTGGAGCACGCTTTTCCAGATATTCGAATCCAGATGGATTGTCACGGTAAGTGTCACTGCGACGACCATCGTGAATCTCATTGTGATGATAATGTTGCAGTCATGGGTTGGCAATACATAACCATGGCACATCTGTTGCTCAGCGCACACCGTCCATTGCCCCGTGTTGGTCCATCCCACAGGCGAACAATGATGGACATGGAAGAGGTCGTCAAACGAGACGTCAGGACATTATGCGGAATAGCTCAGTCAAACCCACAAACCCCTCCGGCTAGCCTAGTGGCCTGTATGGCCGTAGCATTGTGCAAGTTCGCCTCTCCTAGCATTGGGTCCTAGACTTCTGACATCTCAACAGTCGGCGATCGCTTCGATTCCCAGCGGGAGCAGGTGCTTTTAAGAGATCTCCTGGTCCAAACAGAGCTTCGCACAGGGTGGCCAACTTCTATAGCACGGGAACAGCTCGAACGGACCTGGAATGGGGCGTGAACGACTCCGCACCCACCCGCGTCACCCCATCTGGCCTACAGTTCTCATCTTGGGGAAGAGACTTTGGTCTCAAGGTACGTTGCTGGGATGTGCGTGAAAACCCTGTTGTTGAGCCCGGAGGCTAACCGTCTCGAAGTCGAATCTGGTTAGCGACTCCGAACGATCGGCCTTGACATGTCCGGAAGCGAGGGGCGGTCAAACTCCACATTGAAGGGTACCGTGAGAACTCTTTGACGCCGGTTCGTCCCAGGTGTATAAGAACTCTTCACTTGCTTGTCTTCACCTCGACAGCTCCTCGAGACTAGCAGTTTTTGTTCAGACGTACGAGCTCACGCGCGCATATTCGAGGATGTTATCAATCAAGCAAACCAAGGTCATCGAGCGTTCCCCCAACTATGATGCTACCAGTCCCCGTCCTGCAAATCTGAGATATGTCTACCTCGTAACTGCTTTCGTATCCCTGGGAGCCTTCCTCTTTGGTTATGACCAAGGTGTGATGGGAATTATAGTGGCTGATGACCGCTGGATCCATCTCATGAAGCCAGCCAATTCTTGGGTCACGGGTGCTGTCGTATCCCTGTACGACGTGGGCTGCTTCATGGGGGCAATGAGCATCGGATATTTGGCGGACCAATGTGGTCGAGAACGAACTTTGTCGATTGCCAGCGTTGTGTTTGTCATTGGAGCCGTCATTCAGGCGGCGTCCTACGACGTCCCGACCATTACTGTTGGGCGTGTCATTCTTGGATATGGAGTAGGGGCCTGTGCGGCGGGGGTGCCCTTATATGTATCAGAGATCGCTCCGGCAGGGTTGAGGGGTCGAATCATTGGTATCGAACAGATGATCCTGTGCTTCGGTGAGCTTATCGCCTTCTGGCTCGACTATGGATTTGCATACCTGGACACACCTGACTGGTGGCGCATACCTTTGGCCATCCAGATCATTCCTGCTGTTGTTCTGGCTGTCGGATGCTGGTTCTGGGTTCCCCCAAGCCCCCGTTGGCTTGTGCAGCAAGACCGACACACTTGCGCGCGAGAGGTTCTCGCGAGGCTGCACGGAGATGAAGCTGCGGAAATTGAGATGCAAGAAATCGCCGAGAGAGTTGCATTTGAGAAGAGGGTTGCAGTTACCAGGTGGAAGGATATGTTCACTTGGCCCATTCTGCGTGTCACGCTCATTGGAACCGGCGTGCAGTTCTTCCAGCAGATAACGGGCACCAATTCTATCGTGAGACCACGACTCTTTTCCCCTAAAAGTTGCCACAACGAGAGAAAACTGACAATTTGAGCACTGCAGCTATACTATACCCCAAGCTTGTACGAGCGTGGCGGGATCAGCTCTGCCCATACACGCAACTTGGCGACAGGGGGGGTTGGGATTGTCTTGTTTGTTTTCGCATGGATCCCCATTTTTATCTTCGACAGGCTCGGACGGAAGACGTGGCTTCAAATCGGTGTGGTCGGAATGATGGGTGCGATGATTGGGATCACAGGTAAGTCGCTCAAGAAATTCCAGCATGGCATGGGTCTGACGCGGACAAAGTCCTTCAGTGGCATGCAGAGAAATACCCGGGCGCGAGCGGCAATTATGCCATAGTCGTATTCCCGTACTTGTTCTATGTCTTCTTCAACATCAGCTGGGGCGTGGGGAGTTGGACATATGCCAGCGAGATCTGGCCAGTTGCGCTACGGGCCAAGGGCAACGCGTTGAGCACCATGAGCTTGTGGACGGGATGCTATATTGTCGCTCAGGCCAGTCCTCCAATTGGAGATGCCATCGGCTGGGGCTTGTATATCATCTACTCCGGGATCTGTGTGCTGGCATTCTTGTTTGTCCGGTATGCCATGGTTGAAACGCGGGGGCGCACCTTGGAGGAAATGAGCCAACTTTTTGGGCTTGAAGATAAGTTCGCGGCTAGGAGGGGTATCGATTTAGCGACAGCATCCGAGTCGAAGACTGGGAATATTGTGCATGAGCAGGTGGAGGAAGTGGGCAAGTGAGCCCAAGTCATAGGACGGCGAATGCAGCAGGGGTGGTAGACTGACTTCGAGTTGAGGTTGAATCAGAAAGATTGAGATCTCCCAAGGCTGAAAGAAATATCGATGACTGGATCTCCTGCGCATGATGTGGGGCGGTGAGGAGGATATTTTGCCCTTGCCCTTGACAGACAACTTTGGCCGAGGGTCGGGAAATTCTAACTTTCATGAGGAATCTGTTAGCAGGGCGTTAGGAAGCAATTAAATCTCCTCGACGGCCATCGGAAAGCACCATGACTTACCTTTCTTTCTCTTCAACCTGGATCATCCAGTGCTGGAATACCCTGTTGCTTGCTGAACAGCATGAACCTTCTTGTCAGTCTGGTTTCTCGAACATCACGCCTTGCAACCATGAGCAAACTCCGAACATTTTCAACCGCGAAGTCACTGCACGCACAGCCTGCATCTATACAGGCCACGCTGGCCGAAAGATCTCAGGGCAAACTTAGCGAACAGACCCTCGAGAGGGCAGTCCGACAAGTCCATCATGACGGGCTTGTAATTGTCCAAAATGCTATTGACACTGGTGTTCTCCGCAAGTTGAACGAGAAGATGGTCAAGGATGCATTCGAGTTGCGGTCGAGGGGCGAGCATAGTCCCTTCAATTACAACAAAGGGAATCTGCAACAGGATGCGCCTCCTGTGAAGGAATACTTCCATCCGGAAGTATTTCTGAGTAAGTGATGAGCCCGAACCCCAGTGATTGCTGGCTGATATGCGATATGTTAGATCCAATTGCCACCCAGATAACATCGGCCGTGCTTGGGCCCCGTCCCAAATTGACCTTCTGCTCTGGGAATTCAGCCATGCCCTCCACATCAGACTCTCCTGCCGAGAGACAACCTGTCCACTCAGACGCAGATTTCGCACACCCTGACCATCCCTTCGCGCTGGTGGTCAACGTGCCGCTGATTGATATGATTCCTGAGAACGGGTCGACTGAAGTTTGGCTGGGCACACATGAAGCTTTCGGGATTGAGGCGCAGGAAGGGGCACACGGCGAGCGAGCATCAGGAAGAATTCGTGCTCCGTTGCTGGCAGCAAGGTCGAAAACAAACCCACCCATTCAGCCATCCGTTCCCAGCGGTAGCATCATCATCCGTGATCTGAGACTCTGGCATGCTGGCATGCCAAACACGACTTCAGACGTGAGAATCATGTTAGCGATGAGTATGTCACGTTTCTTTCCCTTACAGGCCCCTTCCACTAATCAATAGCAGTCCATTTTGCCCCTTGGTATCGCAATCAGATGAGGCTGGAGCTTGCTGAAGAATTACGACCACTGGTGGAGAGTGTGCGCGACCTTGACATCAAGACGGACTTTGTGGGCGAAGACGAGGCGTTGAGAAGATACCTGAACAGAGGTTTCGGGAACAGCTACGACTTCGGGCAGAGTTAGACGGAGACGGCTGTGTATGCTAGGGGTCTGCGTAAACTTGATGCATCGGTTAGCAACCTTGTGGAATCAGATGAATGTAGCATGCGCGGAAGGTGGTAATTGCGCTGAGCCGGGGAATCCGTCGCTGCCGTGACAAATGCTGGATCGCATTGGGGACGGCCTTGTAGAGGACGGCTCGTCCAGACTGGGATGACTGTGGTATTATTATGGCCGCGTTTCGTGAAATCCTACGAGATCTCCAGGTGTCTGAGTTCGAGGGCCACAGGCGAATCGCATGGACACCAGTGGCTGGGTGGGTTCCCAATGGCTTGGCCCCGCAGCCCCGAAGGGACAGCTTAGTTTGTGCTCTCGTGCAAGTATCTTGATCAACCTCAACGCACCCTCGATTAGTCGCTCGTGAACAAGAAAACATGGCCAAGATAGCAAGCAAAACATGCAAGTGGTCCATCCATACCCTGTCGTGTGCTCATGGCTGATTTGACACAAAGCATGGTGAGCCCTAATACTCCTCGACCTGCGTTGGAGACTCATGAACCGGGAGTAGTAGAACATGCAGACTTCGGAAGCTGAAATGTAAGAAGGCACTCACGTCGACCGCTAGTGTCTCACAGTGGTGAAAGGGGACGAAAAGCTGCCGACGTGTTCTCGGTGCGAAAGAAGCGGGCGTTGGTGTGACCGCACAGCGCCTTTAAAGATCCAACCCCGGAAGAATGTTGGCAGACGAACGAAAGGCGCAAAGGGTACCATCGAGCAATTCGACGAGCCTCGTGTGAGACTGCAGGACGAGGAGATCGCCCACTACTTCGTACACTACCTGAAGACACTGGCTCCGTGGTATGACCTGAACGACCTTGACCAGGCCTTCAAAAGTATCGTGGGCAGCAGAGCTCAGCAGAGCTCCTTGCTGCTCAGCGCCATCATTGCATTTGCAGCTATACATAAGAGTCGGACGTCTCACGATGTGCCCAAGTCGCTGCCAGAAAAACATCATGCTCACTGCTTGCGTCTTTTGATCGGACTCACCGAAACAGCCCCAGCAATCAAGGACGGGACAGCCTTGGCTGCAACATGTCTGCTGCGATCGTTTGAAATTCTTGCAGGTAAGCACAGGAGTTTCCAAGTTGATATTGGCTAATCGGCGTCAGAGGAGGAGGATCCTAATCGCCATCTTTTTGGGGCATTCTCATTAATACCGTCTCTGTCTTGTAGCCTGCCAGAAGAACCGCTGCTCAGGGCCGGTTTGTGGAATTATCTCCGCGAAGATATCACCTTCTCGCTCATCAACCGCTGTCCCTTAAAAATCGAGGTTGGAGCAATAGACATCGAACTGCATCGCGATGACAACTATGCAAATCAAATCACGATTCTCTTGGCCCGTGTCATCAACGCCGTTTTCGCGGGAGGTTCAGACCTTCTCGTCGGCTTACAATCAGCCGTCAGTGCTTGGAATTCGTCTATACCATTCAAGCCTTACCATGAGTCCCACCAAGGCGTATTTCCCAAAATCCAGATGTTCGAGGATTGTCACGGTGAGCTGATACACTGTGGATTTTGTTCCAGACCTGACCAGATTTAGTCGCTGCAAGGCAATATTGGCATGTCGCGCAGATCCTCCTTGGTCTAAACACCGGTAATACAGGGGACTTTGAAGCACACGCCCGCACCATATGTGGGATGGCCTTTTCTGCGAACAGTTTGGAACCATCGAACTGATTTTGTGTCACTCCAGGCGCACAATGGTTGTCGAGAGACGACGCTCGACGGGAATTGGTCAACCGCCTTCTGGATAGCCAAAAGAGGACCGGTTGGCCCGTTCAACACATAATCAAGAAGCTGAACCGGAGCTGGGCTGGAGAGGTGGGGGAATGACTCTGTTGATCCGATGTGGAAACCAGGCTTTATGTCGGTTGCTTCATTCCACGACCATTGCTTCCGCCATAAGCAATTCCTCATCAGCGATAACCTCGTCGAAGTCATCGACACCACCAACATGACCATTGGTACCGTTCTGCGCTGGAGCCCCATTCGCTTCGCTGCGCATATAATCGTGCATTGTTGCATCTTCTCTGCCCATGTCGCCTTCGCCTCGCTTCGCCTGTTGCTCTTTCTGGAAATTTTCCAGCTCCTTCAGGTCCCAGCTATCTTTACCTTTAGTTGAGCCGTCAGGCAATTTCTGCCCGGGTCCCAGAGGCTGAGCTATGCTCCTTAGGAACTTCTTTGCCATGCCCACAGCGGCATCAGTGCTCAATCCGGTTTGAGCATCGGTAATCTCTTCCGCGATCCATCTAGGTAGTTGGGTACGTTTCTTCTGAAACCTACGGTCGGCCAAAACCATGATCCCGTAGTCATCCTTCCCCCTCAAGACTCGCCCCAAGCACTGGGCCGCGTGCCGCATTGCGTCGAAAGACAGAAAGTCTTGTTCCTTAATTCTGTAATTCTCTCGCAGGAACTCCAGACGCGCTTTCAAGATCCTCGACTCCGTGTACTGGAAAGGTGCGCCCATACACAGCACAGTACGTCCATAGTGATGATCGAAGTCGATACCTTCAGACACTTTGCCCCGAGCGACGCAGAGCAAGATCGCGCCTTTGCCATTTTCACATGCAGTGCGGTAAGTCTCCAATGCCAGACTAGTCTCCTGGGCGTCCGGTGTTTCCACCAGAATGAGCTTGTAAGTCCAGATTTGATCCAGGATACCCATTCCCTGCCACATACTGATGATCATTTCCATGTAGAGATAAGAAGGGAAAAAGACAACGATTCCGTCCGGGGTGATTTTTGCAAATTCGTACAATAAAGCGCCGTAGTTCCGTACCACACCTGGATCCGACCGAGATTGGAAGCCGGATGTTATAGACTGTTGATCAGAGCCACGGGTGACGATCATTGGCAAGAAGGATCGCCTTGCAAGTGACATTGGGTAGGACTCCTGCGTCACGGTGCTGAAGTTGAGCATTCTCGGATACATCTCTAAGGGCGAAATAGTTCCAGAAGTAATGATGACAGAGGAAAACCGTTCGAAGACAGGCTTGATCGCGATTGATGCATCAAGGCATGCGAAGTGTAAGATGGGGTTTGGGACTGTCGCTTGCTCGGTCTCAAAGGGCTCCAGAATCAAGAGAAATCCGGTTTCGTAGGTTGCAACAAGAGTGGCAAAGGTCGCTACTTCTTGTAATGGCTGGTAGTCTTCGATGTTGGTCAATTCCAACGTGCGGACAAGGGATGTTAGTCGTTCGGCACAGAACCGCAATGGCTTGCGCTCGATGAAGGTCAGCTCTTTGAGATGTGCGAGGAATGAGGGAGCAGTTTCCTGAATGACGTATAACACTTTCATTCGGGTCTTCAGATACTCGATAAAGCGTTTGAGAAATGCCACGAAATGCTCTGCTCGACGGATATTGCCAGGAACTGCTTCCTTCAAAAGATCGTCAGGTAAGGTGGGGTTCGCCATGAAGGCATCCTCGGCTCGTGCTTCATCTGCCTCTCTCAAGCCTTCCACGAGCTTCTGATATTCATTTTGAAGCTTTTCCTCGTCGGAAGCCTTCATCTCCTCGATCTTCCGTTCCAAGTTGTTCGCTCCCCGAGTCGCTTTTCTTAGAGAGTCTTCGGTCAAATCAATGGACAATGACTCGATGCAGACGTTGTCGATATTGTGGGCTTCATCGAAGACGACTATACAATCCTTGGACAGTTCTTTTGAGACACGTTCCGCAATCTTGGGGTCGAGCAGGTAATGGTAGGAATAGATGATGACGTTGCAGAAGGGCATCATACGCCGTGCTGAGAAGTAGGGACACTGCTTATGATCTTCACCATACCTTATCAGTTCATCCAGTGTGAACACCCCTGGAGGAACCAGGTTGTGTGGTTCGAGGAGATCCAGATTATCATGATAGACGCAGATCTCGACATCCTCTCCTCGCTCTCTTTTCTCTCTTACAAAGCCGGCTGTGAGACTCCGACATCTTGCATCGACGACAGCACCGCTCTTCTCCCGCTTGACGGAAGGATGTAGGCATAGATTCTTTCTGCTGGTCAGGCCTAAACCGCGAAAGTCCTCGACAAAACCGAGTTCCTTGGCCCGATATTTCATAAGAGCTCTCAACTCAGCTAGAGCCTTCTCGATTTCCGACATGGTACGGGAGCAATAGATAAGCTTGCGATGTTCGGGATAGTGTTGCTGGTATGCCACAATAAGGGACAATAGGGAGACGGTCTTGCCAGTTCCTGAAGGCATTTCCAGTACACAGTGACCCCCCGCATCGAGGGTCCTTTTGAGATCGCACATGTACGCATATTGTTCGGGATAGATTCGAGGGTAGGGGAAGAGAACAGGCAGATCGCTATCAGCTGTCAGACACGCTTTATCAAGGGAAGATAGAGGTGACGATACTCGATGAAGAATTTCATGTTGAGACCATGACCTGGACTGGCCACCACCTTTTGGCGTCCGTTTCGGCTGAGAGATTCTGTTGCGCGATCAATTCAATAGCGGCATGTCATGAGCTCGATGCCCTTAGAGCAAGCTGAGTTGAGCAGGTGAGCAACAGGCGAGCAACAGGTGCGGCGATAGTTGAGATTTAGATCTACTTGCCCAGTAAGGCTGCAGGTTCACCACTGTTTGATGTGGGCACGCGTCGCAGGCACAGCCAGGCGACAAGCAAATGTCCCGGCTGGGCGATCTCATGAGCGACGTCATTATCAATCTTCGAATTCGGAAACTTTTTGTCACCTTTCCCACCCCACAAGACTGCCTGCAAGTCTACCGTTAATCGTGTGCTTCATCCTCTCAAACACCACAAGTCCCAGGAGGACGACCACGGCGGCATGAGCAAGAAGTTCAAGTCACAGGCCTCCGCCTCGAGTGCTCGTGCCGCTTCTGCTGCCTTTGGGTCGTCCTCGACCCCGGCCTTCGGCTTCGGCGCTTCACCACAGCCATTCCAGACTGCGCCCTCTTCGCTATCCTACATTGCCGAACAACCAGATCTCAGCAGTGTCTCCAACCCGAATCTGGTTGTGTGCTTCCGAAATCTTGGCAAAAAGGACAGCACTACAAAGACAAAAGCCCTTGAGGAGTTACAGGACTATGTAAACTCGTTGACCTCGAGTAACAGCATTGATTCTGGCCTCCCGGAAGCATGGGTAGGTCTTCTCGTTTCATACTTTTGACCGGGAACTGAGTCGCTGTCTGCAAAGGTCACCCTATATCCACGTACTTCCATCGACAATGCACGCAGAGTACGCCAACTTGCACATGCCCTGCAAGGCTCGATCACTGCTCTCACCGGCAAACGAATCGCACCTCATCTACCAAAGGTGATAGGGGCATGGCTTTCTGGCTGCTATGACAATGACAAGTTGGTGGCACGAACTGCCCAGGAATCGGTGGCGGCTGTGTTTGCGACAGAGGATAAGAGACGGGCTCTATGGAAAGTGTACAGGAATGCCCTTTTACAGTACGCCAACGATGCCATCTTGGTCCAGACACCCCAAACCTTGAGTGATGAACGGTCGACCACGCCAGATGATTCGGAAGCAAAGTTTGTTCGAGTTGCTGGAAATGCCATGCAGATGCTCAGCCAAACTATCAAGGTCAACTTCGTCCCAGAGTCGGACACCAGCAAGCCTGAAATTCCCGAGAGTCTCGGGATGATTGTGGTAGACAAACGACTTTGGGAATATTCGTCGCACGAGGATCCCAATCTTCGAAGAGCAGTTTGTGGCCTCGTCAGCATCTGCGCAGATGTGATCCCTGAGCAATTGGACTGGAAAGTCCTGAGTGCTTGCTTCATTGGCAAAGCCTTGCACCACAGCCAGCTGGGATCATCCCGTCAACTGTCAGAAGCGCTTCTGACTCTTACCTCAGTCCGGCCAGAGGTGTGGACCAAGGACTACTCATCAAAAACAACGGTGTCGAAGGGAATTTCTCAATACCTGCGGAAAGGCTCACAACGAGGTCCGGCGGACTTCTGGGTTGACATTGCGTCGCTCCTCAGGAAGATTCCACTTCAGGCTTGGAGCGCGGTTTCCACTAATGGGAGTGTCCACGTCAATGACGCTACGACATTGCTTGAGTCGTTACGAATGGGAATAACTAGCAGTGAAGAACCACGCCAAAACCTTGAAACCGCTTGGCCCTCTTATGTTGATATCTCCTTCTGGACAAGCCGCCTGTTGGGAGATGACGAGTCTAGAGCCTTACTACTGGAACAAAATGTCCTGCCTTTGGTCTACCAATATATTGTTCAAGATCCTAAGCAAACTGCGTGGGATATTCCCAGAACTTTCAACGTCAACATTACGGCTTCTATCCTCGTCCAACTCATTCGATGCGACTGCCAACTCTCGTTCAAGAAGGCATGGGACCATTGCTGTGAGCAACTCACCACTAGCATGAAGCTATCTCTGCCTGTAAGTTCGAAAGACTTCGCACAATCACAGGACAACGTGATCGCGCAGGCCCAACGCATGTTCCGCCTCAAGCCCCTTGTTGTCGGGGACAAATCTCTGTCCCCATCTGACCTGGCGTATGTGGTGGACGTCTTTCAGGAGTCAGATAACTCTCTACTGAATGCTGCTTTGCAACTCTTGAAAGCACGAAATGGCAAACCATATGGAGCAGCCGCTGTTCTCGAAGCAGTCACATCCCCAATGGAAACAATAACGTCAAATTCGCTTGGAGAGTTCCTTGACTCACATGCTGTCGACCTCCTCACAAGCCCGTCTGCCGAGTACTTGTCCTTGATCCTGCTGCATTTCCATCGGAATCTGAAGCAAGCATTCACGAAGTTGATGAGTGCACAAACGGATGCCAGCATTAAAGCGCTTGCTCGACTTCTAGGTCAATCTTCTGAGGATGATATCGTACAAGTTCCTGAAATCGAGCCTTTCGTCATACACCAGATATCGTCACGACTCGAGAATGGCTTCGCACAAGATATTGTAAGAAGTGTACTAATGAATTCCAAACTCGTTCCATCCAGTTTGCACAAGAATTGCTGCCAGACGATTTTGGCCCAATTGTCACCCGACGCCGACCCGGTGTCACAGCTCGCACTTCTTCGGTTCCTGCTCAATATATTCAGCGAGCAGCGGTCGGCTCATTCTCTTTTCGTCACCAGTATAGAAAGCGTTATCGTCACGAAGCTACTCGTTCTCTCCGATTCTGACAACGCGGAAATAGCAGACCTAGCGACCTCGCTCATAACAAAGGTCAAAACATTGCCTACAGGAGCATCGTCTACGGTAGCTTCTTCCACTGCTGTCATAGCAGACCAACTATCTGGGAAGGGTATCCCTCTTTCCATCCTCTTGCTCATTGATCTCGCGAAAGACACTCTCAAAGCTGCAAAACCGCACGAACATAGCGTGATTGACACCCTCTTCCCGTCTTCCGGTCAGTGGAGTGCTGCTCTCGAAGCTCATATGCACAATCCACCACCTCTTCCACTCTCAATCACAACCCCTCTTCACGGACTAGTTTTCATGATTCAACCTGCGGAAGCTGTCACGCACAAGAAGCCATTCGAAGACCCCGACCAATTCTCTTTGTTATTTCGGCTTGTTCTCTATGTGACAAAGATACTACTCGACACCGAATTGATGACCCACCAATCAGAGGAGCAACTCCAAACGCTGTGCACTTATTATCCCCTAGCTCTACAATTCGTCAATCAGAAGTTGACATTTGAGGCTGCAAGTGATCTCTGGCAAAATACGACCGACGAGATCACGGAAGAGGCGGTCGAATTACTTGCACAAGGTAATTCTATGATTCAGAAGTGGGTTCAAGACGATAGGATGCTTAAAATATGGATTGAGGAGGTCCGTCCCATAAAGCTCTTAGACCCGCGGGCTTTCTATTACAGCTTGACCTTCACCGATGTCGTATCGCGTTACATTGACGAACACGGCCTTGCATCGATAACGTCCACGCTCAAAGAGGAAATGAAGGACATGTACCGACTAAAAGAGGTTGCGCGGTCAGCTAGTCTGATTTGCACCTTTCGGGACCATCTTATCAACTCGCAAGAAGGCCGTAAACTACTCAATGAGCTGGTTGCCACCGGAACCGACTTAACCCCCCCTGATACAGGCGGCAAGGGTTTGCAGGCACTCATTTTGCTAGACCTTCTCCTAGATGGACAATCTGGACCGCTAGAGACAATTCCTAATCAGCGGCAGATCTTCTTGATGCAAACACTTGAACGTGTAGCGGGCGACGCTTCCGCTGGACTAGCTTGTCAAACAATGGCCATGAAACTTCTCGAGCCAAGTGTTGCAGCCACCAAAGATATCTATGGCGAGCACTGGGAACGCGTTCTGCAAAGCTTGGATGCCTTGTGGCGAACTGGCAGTGACTTGAACAACGATCTCGCTCTGCTGCATGCATCACTGCGGGTATATGGACGTTTAAGAGATCTTGCCACTGCTGAGGACGCGAACGAAGACTTGGTTGAAGCCTGGAAAGTCTCACACCCGGCTCTAGAAGATGGACTATTGCATTGTTTAAACAGCTTCAATAAACCAAGCAATGAGGTCAACCAGCCGCGTCAGATTACAGCTGAACTACTTCGAAGGCAACTTTCACAGGTCAATGTGCGGCCTGATGCACATTTATACGCGCTCGTGTCGTCCCCAGAGGCTCCAGTCCGAAGAGCTGCGTATGACCTTCTGCACCGGTCCATCCCCTCCGAACAGCAACAAATTTCACTAGACATTGCCCTCGAATCAAAAGTTTCTCACCTCCCATCGGAACTCTTGAGTGTGCTATTAGATACGCCACGGACGCCGAGCCCAGGAGTCGCAGCCTCGCTTCAGAGTTATTTGCTTTCGTGGCACTTACTCTTTGATCACTTTCCAAGGGCGTCGTACAAGCTCCGGGCGTACTACACTACAGATATCAAAGAAAATGCCACACTCGGAGGCCTTCTAGATTTAATTTGCGATCTGTGCCGGATCACAAGCAGCCGCCCACTTGACGCTTCGAAAATCGACATCAGATCCTTTGAACTTGATAGGGACGAAACAGATGAACAAGAGCAACAGCACCTGGCTGTACATCTCTACTACTGCTGTCTGTTATACCTTCCTGGACTCACGCGAAGCTGGTTCATTGAGCAAAAGAACCGAATC